CTTTAAAATTAATGTGTGAAGTCCGAAATAATTTTTTTTTTTAAAGTTTTGTAGAAAAAGTTTTTTAACCCAGAGTTTTTAAGACTAAAATAAAATGCGGAAACGTAAAAAAGTAAAGTAAATGACACAGATTTATAGTGGTTTCGGTCTAAAACCAGACCTACATCCATCCCAAGAGGCACCCTCTGAGTATTGCACTAATACCAATAGTGACTCTCCTTTTGCACCCACAGCAAGGCGGAGAAGCCTTTACAACACACTCTTTTACCACTCTACGGTGCGGCAGAAACCGTCGTCCTTTTACACTATCCCAGTGTTGGCAGAGAACCGTCACTTTTTACACTATCTCCTAGTGTGGGCAGGGAACCCTTCGGCTATTTACACTCTCCAAGTGTAGGCAGCGAACCTTCGGCTTATCCACACTCTCCTCAAGTGTAGGCAGGAACCCTTCGGCTATTCACACTCCTCCAAGTGTCAGCAGCGAATCGGATCTCCTTGACAGATCTTCTCACAAGAAATCTAGAAGGAAGAAAGAAAAGAGTGAAGTAATCCAAATTCACAAGTAAGATTCTTACCTTTGAACTCCAAGTGAAGTCTTCACGCTCAGTGGTAAAAATCATCCTTGAATGCACTTTCACACTCTTTCCTTAGCTATTCTCTCAAGAGGCACAAAGATCAAAATGACAAAAGATTGGGTGGCAGTCTAATTTGGACTATTTATACAAAAGACAAGAAAAAACCGCCCAAATACTGGAGCATTCAATTTTGTAAGTAGTGGCGTCCCGTACGATCGTCGGATCGTCCTCGACGATTTTACTTAAACGATTTGAAACGACCCCATTTGTATATGTGTACGAAATGTCTTCGTACAGCTGATCGTCCCGTACGAACTAGGTTCGTCCGGTACGAACGGTTATTACAAGATCGGTTCTAGAAACTGTTGAAAACCGTTCTAAGTTGATTAATCGTTTGGACGAAAATTTATTCGTCTGGACAAAATTTTACAGAGGACTGATCGTCCTGGACGATTATTTATTTCGTCTGGCGACTAAAATTTTTCCAGAGACCAAATCGCCATGGACGATAATATTAATTTCGTCTGACAAAAATTTTCCAGATGACCAATCGCCATTGACGATAATTTAATTTCATCTGGACAAAAATTTTACAGAGAATCAATCGTCTTGGACGATTGTAAAATTCGTCCTGGACAAATAGGACTTAGAAAAAATTTTAAGCAAGTTCCTATTCGTTCCATGTGCTCAATAGGAGATAACTGTCTGATCGTCCCGTACAAACGGATATCGTCCAGTACGATCAGTAAAATTTTAATGATCTCCTTATGTGGTGTTATGTTTTTATTAACTCAATTACAATCACTATCTTTCAATTTAATTTCAAAGAAATGCAACTTCAAATCTTTAAAACAAAGTATCTCATTCTGAATTTAATTTGAAGTCTTCGTGTCTGGAGTTCATTTTTCCTGAAATGTTAGTACACACAAGAGCAAATACAAATTCTTCTAAATTGTTAGGAGATAACTACACATTTGAACAATAATGTTTGGAATCATCAAAAACTACATAAATGCAAAAATGTAAAGCATTCAAATAGCAACTATCTTAACAATCTCCCCCTTTTTAATGATGGCAAAAAATTATTGTTTGTAATGGTTTCAATTTAAATAAATCTCCTAACTCCCCCCTAAATTGATGAATACATGAAAATAAGGAGGCATTTTGAAGCAAAGAACAATATTTTTGTTTTTCAAAAATTTTAACAATCATAAGACATAGACACAAGGTCATACACAAAGTCAAACACTAAATTAAAATGCAAACAAAACAAAATAAAATAAAACATACAAACACAATAATTTCTCCCCTTTTTGACAACAGCAAAAAGTGAAGAAGAAATAGACAAGAAATGTAAGTAATTATATGAAATTCATTTGAAAATTTAATTACTAAATGGTGATTGACTAATGTATGCAATCTTAAACTAATAACATTAGGTAAATCATAGAAATTCATAGAATTTAAGAAGTGATATACATTGTAAATAAGAAAAAATTTATCAAAAATATTATTCAATTTAGACATTCGAATATAGAAAATCATTACAAGAGAGAGTATAAAAATTATTATATTTAAAGTTCAATAGAATATAAATAAACATAAGATCAATTTGAATTAAGAGATTGAAAGAATTTGGAAAGAGAGAATTACCACATGGTGAGCTTTGCGCATCTTTTTCAAATTTTGGGCACATTTTTTGCATATTTTGACATTGGGCAATATTGTGCTCTTTTTTCATATTTGCGAACCTTTGCGCATTCCTTTTGATTTTTGTACTCTTGTATAATATTCAAGAGTAATTGAGACCAAATCTTTCTAAAATCAATAATCTAAAATTTCAAATATTTCTAAGTGCATAAATATCACTTGAGCAGAAATACAAAATAGAAAACAATCTATATTGCAATAATAATATTAACTTTTATTTAGTCTAAATGAATAGACATGAATTTAAAGTTCTAATTATAACAAGTTATAAACAACTGTTTAAATTTAGAAAACTAGATTTTCTAATGTAATTAATCTAAAAATTACAATCTAATTTAAGCACAATTAAGATTAAATAAGACTAATGAAATCATAAAAATTAACAACATTCCAAAAAATAAACCAAATTAAATCAACTACGACATGTATTGAATATTATTGAAAAAGATTACATGATCATTTCATAATATCAAAACAACAATAAAACAACAAACATAAACAAACATAACTAAGACAAATACAAAAATAAATACTAACACAACTAAAATTTAGAACAAAACAAGTACAACAAACCAGAAAATTCATCATCATTCTCTATTCTTCTGGAGGAGGAGGAGGAGGAATGCCACCAAAAAAGTTGAAGTAGGAGGCCATCAACAACATTGGTATTTGATTTCATGTACTTCATTTCTAATGCTACCCAAATGTCCTGTTGTTGCATAAGTTGAGCATCAAGTGATCAAATCTTTGATCAACATGAGTCTCTAGTCTATCAAATTTTATTCAATCAGATTCTGATAATCTGACTGAGGTGCAGAAGTTTACTCTCCTCTTCTTCTTGTTCTGAAGCACTGGCATGTGCTTTTCCTTTTTCCTTCATATTATGCAAACTGAATTTTTTACACACATCGTCCAGAACGAAAAATTTCGTCCCCGACGATTTCAACACATTTTTTTGGATTTTTGAATTTTTTATTTGAAAAAATCAAACAAAACATTTCAAAACATAGAAAACAAGACAAAATCACATACTCTTAATTAAACTCATTCAAAACACTCAAAAATCACAAAATTCATAACAAAACCAAAAAAATATAAACTAAGAAAAATAAATATCAATGTGCAAAAACATTTTTATTTAAGATTCAAATCAATTAACCAAGCCTTGTTTCTTAAAGTTCTGAAGAAGGTATCAAAGGCTAAAGGTTTTGTAAAAATGTCTGCAAGTTGATTTTTAGTTGAAACATGTGTGAGTTCAATTTCTCTCTTGGATACATGATCCCTTATGAAATGATGTCTTATGTCAATGTGTTTGGTTCTAGAATGTTGAATAGGATTTTTGGAAATGCAATTGCACTAGAATTGTCACAATAAATTGGAATAGTTCTATAGTTTAATCCTAAATCAATCAATTGTTTATTTTAACCAAATACTGTGTCCACACAACTTCCTAATGCAATGTATTCTACTTCTGCAGTAGATAGGGCTACTGAATTTTTGTTTTCTACTGGACCAAGAAACTAATGAATTTCCAATGAATTGACATGTTCCAGAAGTGCTTTTCTTAATCCACTCTACAGCTGCAAGTCAGAATCTGAATAACCAACAATTTCAAATGAGGAACTAAACTTAGGATACCAAATTCTATGTTTTGAGTTCCTAGCAAGTATCTTAAAATCCTTTTCACTGCTGTCAAATGTGATTCTTTTTGGATCTGATTGAATCTAGCACATAAGCAAACACTGAACATTATATCTGGTCGGCTAGCAGTCAAGTAAAGCAAAGATCCAATAATCCCTCTATATTTCTTTTGATCAACAGATTTTCCCTTAAGGTCCTTATCCAACTGAACTGAGGAACTCATTGGTGTACTAACAGGTTTAGCATTGTCCATTTCTATTTTTTGAGGATGTCCTTAATATATTTAGTTTGACTAAGAAATGTTCCTTCCTCAAGTTGGCTTAATGCTAAAACCTAGAAAGTAATTTAAATCTCCCATTAGACTCATTTCAAAATTCACTACTCATTGTTTTAGAAAAATCATCACAAAGATTTTTATTTGAGATCCAAAGATGATATCATCCACATAAATTTGAACACATGAGTATTTAATCCTATTTAATCCAATTTTTTTAAGTCACTAAAGGAATAAGAAATAGTCATGTTTGATAATTATAGAAGGGAAAATAGGTGCTTTAAGTTAAATAAATAGTTTGAGAAATTATTATAGTATTATAAAAAAATATGCTAAAAATTAAATTGCCAACTTAAAATATTTAAATAATTTAGATAAATGTGAAAATAGATACAACCATAAAAAATAAAAAAAAAATTTAGTCGATACAATCAAGCTATAAATCTTATTATGTAATTCAGCTTTCCACCGTCTACCACGTGTCAACTAACCGGAGCCAACCTCTAGCTCAGCTCCACCAGGCACGTGACCCGGTCCAGACCATGTTTCGTACGAGTCATCCAGTCACATCCCAACCAAACCAGTCCACCGCTCCGGCCCCATCACCTAGTCGGTCTGCTCGCCGGCCGGACCCGGTGATCGTTCTCCTCATGCTATCGGCCACGCTGACCGTAATGCTGCTCTTCGGCCGTCTCTGTGCCGTGTTATGCAATTGCGCGTGGTTCTACCTCTTATCTTGCATTCCGCCGGCCCCAATGCCGCCGTCGCCGGCGAAAGAGCTTTCCGGGGTGGAGGAACTGGATTTGGATTCACCGGCGTATAAGAAGAAGGTGGTGCTTATGGGCTTGCTTGAAAGAAACAGGTACGGTTTTTCAGGAGTGCCAATGACTCCAATGGCTTCCCCGACGACGGCCAGACTGAACAGGTAGCCCTGGTGAACCACACCAATTGTTTATTGGCGGGTCTCCCTATATCAAAATTTGATATTTATTTATTTATATTACACTTTACTGTCTTAATCACATCAAAATATAAATATAAAAATTAAATCTTTTTGTCTTACAAAATTATTAGTGATATCTTTTATGTGATTTAAATATTTGATTGTTATTTTAGTCAATATCATAATTTAAATATTAGACATGTAAATACATAAAAATTATTTGGCATGTTTGTAAGCTCATCTTCTTTATTTTGTAAATGTGAATAGAGGAAAGGAAATTATAAAATAGGATTAGTGTGATATATGAGTGATTAATATTACACTAATCTTAATAATCATCCACATATATCTCATATTCTTGTTTACAACTAATAATTTTGTGGAATATTTTTTAGGAGGTTGTCGACACAAAGAAAAGACCTTAGATCTACTTTGAGAATTATGCAATATATGATGGATAAATATTACTCTAATCTGAAAACATATTCCAAGAATTTGAATTGCATTTTTATATGCTTTGTTTATATATAATCCTATATAACATTTTGATCATTCTTCTAAATTTCCACATGTTTTAAACTAATATTTTTATCATATTATTGAGATTTACGAACTAAAATGGAGGAAATATGTGATTTTTTTCTTTATATTTTTCTAATCTTAAAAATTATGAATATCTTTTTTTTTTCAAAAAGAAGCCAATGAATTGGGCCCACTTAAGGTGTGATTCATGAAAATTAAAGATAAAAAAAAAACAAACCTTTCAAATTATTTTTAATATAGTGACAATAAAAGTGTAAGATATAATTATTATTATTGTTGTGTCCTGGAATATTCGTGGTGGTAGAGAAATATATATATGTTAACTTCTTAGTTTTGTACGAATATCCAAAACGCATACATATAAAAAGAGATTGTGTAGTATTTATAAGAGACACTAATATTTTTATATGAAAAATTCTGAAAAAGTGGACAAATCATGGGTCTGGCCCAGTTTGAATGAATCCACAATTATTTGTAGTCGATTAAAAATGGGGCCCTTCCATGGAGGAAGGCCTTAGCTTGATGTAATAAATCTACATCATATAAAATACATTACATGATGGGATTTGAAAGAATCACTATTGATAAATTTGTTTGGTCGGTAGAACCATAGTAGGCGGGCAATGGAGATCGGAAAGATTATAGTCTGATGATGGTGGTCTGAGGGACTGTAGTCGGAGGGCGATAGTGGTTAGAAAGACTATTGTTTGGTGAAGGAGGTCGGATGGACTGTAGTTGGCTGGCAACGGAGGTCGGAAGTTGGGAGACAGGCGAAAGTACGACATCAAGTAGAAGTTCAATGATGAATGAAAGTCCGACATTAGATAGAAGTCCAATGGAAGCCTGACAATGGGTAGAAGCCGACGTCGGGTAGAAATCTGAACACGGACAAAAGTCCGACATTGGATAGAAATCCGATGAAAATCCAATGAAAGTTCTGCAATGGGTCAAAGTCAGGCACCGGGTAGAAGTCTGACGAAAGTCAGGTGACGGGTAGAAGTCTAACGATGAGTGGAAGTCCTATGTCAGGTAGAAATCTGGTGATGGGCAAAAGTCATGTGTCAGGTAGAAGATCGACGAAAATTCGGCGATTGCAGAAGTCCGACGTTGGGTAGAAGTCTAGCGATGGACAGAAGTTCGGTGACGGGTGGATATCCAGAGTCAAGTTGAAATCCGGCGACGGGCGGAAGCCTAGTGTCGGGTATAAGTCCGACAAGAGTCTAACGACGGGCGAAAGGTCTGGCGTTGGGTAGAATTATGGTGATGGACAGAAGTTCGATGACAGGAAAAAGTTTGGAGTATGATAGAAGCTGATGAAAATCAAGCAATGGGCAGAAGTCTTGTGACAGACAAAAGTTTAGCAATGGGGGGAAGTCAGGTGTCAGGTAGAAATCTGGCAATGGACAGAAGTTCGGTAATGGGTGGAAATCCAACGTCGGGTAGAAATCTGGTTATGGGTGGAAGTCCGGCTCCTGGTAAAAGTTTGATTCCGACGATAGGTGGAAGTCCGACATCGAGTAGAAGTCCAATGAAAGTTCGAGAACGAGCAGAAGTTCAGCATCGAGTAGCAATCCGACAAAAGTCAGGAAACGGGTAGAAGTTTGATTACAGGTGGAAGTCCAGTGTCAGGTAGAAATTTGACGACGAGTGTAAGTTTAACATCGGGTAGAAGTTTAATGAAAGTATGGCAATAGATAAAAGTCTAGCAATAGGTGGAAGTCCAACATCAAGTATAAGTCTGGCAATGGAGAGATGTTCGGCGATTAGTAGAAGTTTGGAGTTGGGTAGAAGTTCGACAAAAGTTCGACTACAGAAAGAAGTTTGGCGATGCGTAGAAGTCTTGTGTCAAGTAGAAATCTAGTGAAGGACAGAAGTATGGCAACGGGTGGAAGTCCAACATCGGATAGAAATCCGACGACAAGCGAAAGTTCAGTGTCGGGTAGAAAGTTCGTCAAATATTTGGCGACTGGCAAGAGTCTGAATATGGGCAAATGTCCGGCGACAAGAGGAAGTTCGACATCTGGAAGAAGTCCGACGAAAGTCCAGCAATATGCAGAAGTTTGGCAAATGGCAAAAGTCCGGCATCGGGTAGAAATCCGGCGACGTCCGGAAGTCCAGCATTAGTTAGAGGTCTGAAGAAAGTCCGACGATAGATAGAATTCCGACGACAGACGAAAGTCTGACGATGATTAGAAATCTAGCGATGGGCGAAAGTTCAACATCGAGTAGAAGTTCGACTAAAGTTTGGTGATAGATAGAATTCTGGCGATGGGTGGAAGTCCGACGTCGGGCAAAAGTTCGACGAAAGTCTCGCGATGAGCATAAGTCTAGGGATGGGAGAAACTCCAGTGTCAGGTAGAAATCCGACGACGGGTGGATGTCCAGCGTCAGGTAGAAGTCTGGCGATGGACAAAAGTTTGGCGACGGGCAGAAGTTTGGAGTCGGGTAGAAGTATAACAAAAGTCTGATGATGGGCAGAAGTCTAGCGACATGCAAAAGTCCAGCGATGAGTGGAAGTCTGGTGTTGGATAGAAATCCGGTGATAGATAGAAGTCCGACAACGGGTGAAAGTTTGACGTCGGGTAGAAATTCGATGACGAGCGAAAGTCCGGCGTGTGGTAGAATTCTGACAAAGTTCCACGACGGGCAGAAGTCCGACGATGGGCGGAAGTTCGGTGTCGGTTAGAAGTCTGACAAAAGTCCAGTGATGGGCATAAGTCCGACATCTGTTGGAAGTCCGGTGTCGGGTAGAAATCTGGCGACAGACGAAAGTTCAGTGTCGGGTAGAAGTCCGATGAAAGTACGACGATATGCAAACGTCCGACGATGGGCGAAAGTATGGCATCGGGCGGAAGTTCAGCGTTGAGTAGAAGTCCGACGATGGGTGGAAGTCCGGTGTCGAATACAAGTCCGACTATTGGAAAAAGTCCGGCGACGGGCGAAAGTATGGTATTGGGTAGAAGTCTAGCGATGGACAGAAGTTGGACATCAGGTAGAAGTCCGACAAAGTCTGGTGACGAGCAAAAAATTGGCGTCGGTCGGTGGCCGGTAGGTGGTCTAGGTGGTGCTTGGTGGCAAGAGAACTATTCCTTCTCTTCATTTTCTTCTTGCTTGGGCCTCCTCCCCCCCCCTCCAATGAGAAATGAGCGGTCTATTTATAGTTTTCTGAGAGTGGCATGGCATGTATAGAAGAGGAAGATCAAGGGTAATTTTGGAGTGATTTGAATGGTTGGCCGATGTTGAATCTCTTGATAGTTGACCATTTATTTAGTATTTGAATGTCTTCATGTTATCAGAATTCAACGATCTATGGCTCCTTGGATTCATCTATGGTTCCTTGGATTCATCTCGTCGAGCTGCTCGATTCGACTATAAGCATGTAATGTTTAGAAGCCGCTTGGTAATCCAAATTAATGTTTGAACCTTCCTAATGAGCTTCAGGTCTTCGATTTGTACCCATTTGGGCTCGAATTTGGTGTCGTTGGATTCATATTTCCGAGATGATCAGTTCGACTATAAGTTTGCTTAAATCGGAGTTTCAGATGGTCCTGGATTTAATTTTTGATCTTTCCAACTTGATTTTGCTCCGAGATTTATGCCCGATTAAGATAATTTTTGGGTGATAATATTAATTATATTTTCAGAAAAATTGTGAGTTTGAAGAAATAAGAAAGTAATGCGGTAGATTTTAATAAAAGTTAAGGCTACCGTTATGGACATGAACAAAAGCAATGTTACTCGTTTCATTGGCTATTGAACTTCTCCCATATGGTTATGTATGTGTCTCTCTTGTTGTTGAATGTGTTCGACATGCAGACTAGGGTGGCAAGGGGGGCTTCTGATAAAAAAAAATGTGCATGTTTTATTTAAGGTTTATTTTGAGACAGCTTTCTTACTGTTTTATGAAGTAGCTTTTTAGTATAAAAATTTCTAGTTCAAAAATTTTATATACTAAAAAGTTGTTTTAGAAAGCAATAAGAAAATTGCCCCAAACGGAGCCGAAGTCATTAGATTCTTGGCATAAATATTATCGTGGGATGCGAGGGATGATCATGGGCAAAGATAATATGAATGAGCAAAATGAGGCATTTTGAAGTTGTTAGATTCTTGTATGGTTCCCATGGCCAAGATCGCAATCCCCATATAAAGTGGTATTTTGAAGGTCTATTGTCAGTGAAGTCATCTGCGGGAATCAATGAAGAACAGTTCGCCCATTGCGAGGAGGTGCTGCAATATATGTAGTCATTACGCCCATCACTGTTATTAGATCCTTATAGCTCCTAATATAAGCATTTTTTTAAAGTACTCCACTGAGAAGAGAAAAAAGAATGAGGCTTAAGATCTCAAGTATAAATCCTCTAAAACCCGTATAAGCACTAGAAGTCCTTGAAGAATTAAACTTGGGGGAATGAAAATAACATCATTTTCAACATGAATCAGTAGCACATGAATATTAATATTCTCAACAT